TTGGAAAGCCTCTGCTCACGTTGTGCATAAGCACATCTTGGCATTACTTCACCCTGCTGCATCCTGGAGCAGCCAAACACTGCGACAGAGAAACCTGTAGAAACAAAAGGTGTTCCTCCCTAAGCCAAGTGCCACCGGAAAGGGCTCAGGCTGCAGTAAACTCTCACTCCCTTGTCTCTATTCGTAATTAAGCTTTGTGTTAATAGCCGATGAAATTAACGCTCAAAGCTCATCCTCTATTAACGGGGAGGGTGGTTGCTGTTGTGCCTATGTGCTTAAAGCAGAGTTGTACCTGCTGATCTTGATGAATGGGTCATTTGTGCTCCGAGTTTCCTCTGGAAATGAGAGGCAGAGTACAGAGCCCCGGTGCTGATAAGGGATGCTGTTATTCTGTGCTCCGTAGCCATTCCTCCAGGAAGCCGTTGCTTCATTTGTATTGCTTTTTTAACCTTATATGCTCAGTGGGCCCAGGCAAGGCTTCTTTCTTCTTGAATTAAATGTAATCAGGCTGAGCAGTGAGGAAGAAATGATGAATGAGGACATCATTTTGGAAAACACACATCTCCTGACTGCTTATCTCAATGACATAAGAGGACTTGAATACAGTATGGAAAATAAATGCAGATGGAGGCTCAGCATATCATGCTGGAGAATAATAGCTCAGAGGGCTAGACCTGGCCAGGAACTATTTGTTATTTAGAGCATTGCTGGTGTAATTTATAAAGGTTAATCATTAAAACTTTACTTCTCCTAGAAGAAAATGGCTGAAGAGCCCTGGCATTTGTCGTGTTTGCAGCACCATGGCAATGAAAGAAGCAACACCGCAGGGAAAGCCAGTGCCTGTGCTGACCCATCCAAGAGGGCATCACCGTCCTTCCTACCTGCAACCAGATCCAGTGCTGGCGGACCCACAATGGGAGAGCTGTAGGGACAAGGATGAGTGGCAGAGCTGTTGTCCTTCAGGGAGGGCACAAGGAGCTCATCTCCTGGCCACCCTCCTGGGCTAACAACAGCAACTTGGAGTATGTTGCAGTGCATGGAGGCTCTAGAGAGCAAGACGAAAAGGGAATCCAAATAAAATATCATGGAGGGGAAGCATGGCGAGGGTGTCACCATTTTACTTCCAGCCCAGGTGCATTCATTAATGGCCCTGTAAATAAGGAGAAGAAAGCAGGAATACTCACCAAAGAATTTGCTTTTCAAGCACTCCAACGTGCTGCTCAAGTTATTTATTTGTGATGAAACTCCCTCTAGATGAAATAAATCTGATAAAGTCTGGCCACACAGAGCTAAAATAGCATCTGGGGTGGCTTGTTCAGCACAGGGCAGCGTGGCCTTACGGAAACAGCCACATTCTCATCTGGAGCAGAACAGGCCACTCAGCCATGAAAAAGAAGGGGCTTTTTCCCACTGGTACCATGACTTCCATAAGTGCCTTTGCAAATTCAAGCCATCAAGTCGTGGCTGTGTTCTGGGGGGGGATGCTGCTTATAGCACAAGAACAAGGAGTACGCACATCCCAGACCCAGCCTCATTAAGGGAGTAATAATGAAGGTAAATAAAGACGGCAGAAAAGTCAGTGTGGAGAAAATAAAGGGCCCAGCTCAAGCCATGCTCAAGCCCAACAACCCTCAGAGTGTGAATACCTGAACTTTGATTCTGGAGGCAGGCTTCAGTGCTAATTGAAAACTGCTTATGGATGCAACAGGGTACAGTTCATTTCAGCTTCAGGTCAAGAGTGTTTCACTGCAGAAAAGGCCTCCAACATCCTGGGAATCCCGGCCCACCCACCAGTGCAGTAAATCAGCTTTGCACATTACAGGTCACTGCCCAGGGAGCAGCCAGATTCCTCACAGAGCCATGGGAAACAGCCAGTATTGCACTATCCAGATGTAGGGGAAGAAGAGCTTTGGTTAGCAGTTTGAGTTGTAAATGAATTTAATTGGAGCAGATATTAATTAGTGTCTCTGCTTATTGGCATTGCCATAAGAGTTCCCATTCATTCACAAAGTGGTTGTTTTGCCTTGCTTGCGAAATCCAGGTATCAGGGCAGTGCAGGTCCTGGGATGCAGCCCTGCCCTGGGAGCACTCCTCACACCACTGGCACAAATGCAACTGCTGGGAACAGGGTGAAAGCAGCAAAACCCCCATTAGATTTATGGTTTAATTCTTGTTGCTGACATCCCCCGCTCCTAGGAGGCATAATTTAGACAAAGCCCAGCCTGCGGGTATCTTGTATTTCCCTGTGATGCTATGGGGCTGCTGCACTCCAAATATTGAGAGCGCCTGGGTGTAAAGCACTGTTTTGGTCATGTGTAGCCTTCGAGCAGCACACGGCTTGGGTTCTGCCAGGAAGCAGGGAGTGGGATGGGGTAAAGCTGGGGAAGGATTCAGAAGCGCTTCTGTCCATGGCAGCAAGCAGCAGCATCCTTCTGGAGCAGGCACCTGGCATCACTCCTGGCTGCAGCCCGGAATGGAGGACTGGAGGATTTAACTCGGAAAGCCTGGGGGTCCCTGAGGGGTGGATGCTTAGGCTCATTGCAAAACGATGGATCAGGGTTTAGCAAGGCAAACTGAGAATTGGGACTGAACTGGTTTTGGAAATCCTTCAATGGCCTCCTTCCCCAAAATGACAACTTTCCTTTTGATAGCTCTTTCTTCTCCTTTTCTTTTTCTTTTCTTTTTATAATTCCAGTTCTAAGCATGTGATTCCCAGTTTTCCTCAGGCCTCCCCTAGTTTCTGATTTACTTTGGCAATTACCTCGAAGTAGGACTGCAGTGCCATGAGCCCGAGGTGGTGTTCTACCTGCTGGAAGGCCACTAAATCTCAGAAACTTCCTATGAAATCTAAAACCAGAACAGAGACAATGGCTGGAGCTACACTTCCTCAGGAGAGAGGTGGTGGAAACCTGAAACACAATGAGCTCGCTGCCTCTAAGATGATGTGTGGCAAAGGAGAGGGTAGTGCACGGGATGCTCCCATTCTGCTGCGCTGGGCTCGGTGGTGGCATGGGGGCTGCCAGCACTGGGATTCAGCCTATGCACGGAGCTTCCCCGAGAAAGGTACTGCCCTCTTCCTCCTTCTCTTTCCATTCGTAAACCTGGAATAGAGATAGCATCTGCAAATCGAAGGCAGGCAGGGGATGCTTTTTGTCAATCCTTACTTCGAAGACCGCTACGCGATGATCTCAGGGATCACACAATAAATGGCAAAGTGTTGTATGCGACGAAGGCAACCTCTGCCTTGCGAAACAAACCTTTCCAGAAGTGCCATAGAAACCTGTCAAGTGCTCATCCTTCAAAGGCGGCTGCTGCATAGGCCAAGGGCTCCTCGCTTGCGTGCAGAACAAAAACAAGGTCTGCAAGGTAAGAAAGTGTGAAGGGGAAATCGGCTTCCCCTCCACATTTGCATACTGGTCTTTAAATTGCATCACATAAATCAGCCCCACCAAGCAAATGTGGAGTGTTCTGAAATATTGTATTTGCTCTGGATCAGTTCACAACCAGATTGCTTTTATTTTGTTTCATAAGAAGTTGAGATTGGAGATGTATGGACACGTTACTCTTTATGTTTGCATCTGCTACCCTGGCAGGAGAAAAATGGTTGCTTGGGTTTTGCAAACATTCTCCAATTATTTTCCTAAAATGGTTTGGATGAAATACTGTTGATTCCTATAATTAGCTGAAATAATAAACTGGCAAGAGTTTGTTTTAGTTTCCTTTTGGAAGGAAAAATACTGCAATGAACTCAACACCCTATAGTGCAGTTGGCATGAACCGTAACGCTGTGATGTGAACAGCTTGGGGTATATCACAGACTGCACCCAGTCCCGGTGGTTGTCTTGCCTGGAGAGACTTGCATTCCTACTGCTCTGTTTCCTCTATGGCCACAGGTCTTCCATTCAACACTTGCAAAGGCAGTGCAAAAGGGATGTTTCCAGGGAGGCAAAGGGAGCTGCAGAAGAGCACGATGCTTCGAGTGTGCACGCTCCTAACATGACAGAGGAGCCAGCTTGCGTTCACCTCCTCCTTTCCTTACCAGGATCATTATCCAGACAGACTGAAAGCTTACTCCAGTGAATGCCAAAGGACAACCCCTGATGCACACAAGTAGAAAGGAGCGATGCTCCCAGTGTGTAGCTACTCAAGGGCAAGAGGGCACTGCAGCAGCCCCGATGCACTGGGCCAGAAATTCCTGGCATTATGGTGGGCAGTGTTCCTTAATCCTTCTTTCAGCCCTTGAAGGGATTTGGGGATTTAACCACTCTCCTCAGGAGGTGTAGATTTGGGTCTGTTCCTTGGGGCGCCTGCAGCATCGCTGGTCCTGGGGAATGAACCTGTGACACACACAAACCTCTTCTGCTTCCATTGCCCGTGTTTAAAGGAAAGGAAGCAACAGCCCAAGTAAAAAAATGCTGCAGGCTACTAAAATCACCTGATTTTGAGTCAGCTTTGGAAAAGATGTGTGGGGTTTTTAAGCACTTTTAAGCCTGAGAGCACCAGATTTCATCTTTGACCTGCCTTCCTTGCCAGCCCTCAGCACCCCCTCCCTGTGCACTAACCTCTGCTCCTCCACCCTGCATGAGTTGTGCACGCTCAGATAGTGGATCAATCACCATAATAGCTGTTGTCTTCCAGGTTTATTAATGCTTTCCAAGCGAATTCCTGTTTTCTTGCTAATAACCCTGCCAGTGGAACACTTCTGTGGACACGCAATTATTCATGTGGCAAACTTGCCACCCGAATGCTGGTGGGTAATTAGGAAGCTTTGCATCCAACTGGAAGCAAGTCATTTTTAACCTCTGCAACAGGCTTCAAGCTGAGAATATTTCACCGCAGGACCATCTTCACTGCAAGCAGTGCCTAGGAAGGAAAGGCAGCTGATCCCTATGAAGGGAATGAGAGGGGCACAGGTGCTACTCATAGGGATTCACTTGGCCCCACAGTTCATATAAGCAGGCTTATCCCTGCATTTGTAGAGTGAAATTGGGAGGAGGAGAGGCTCTGCAATAAAGGGGCAGCCAGAAGCTGGGCGTTTGCTTGGCTGCTGCTGGTAGGCGCAAGGAAAAGCACTACAGAAAGAGGTATGTCTTGGTGTTGGAGCAATGATTTTCCTATGGTGCTTGTGTGGGTTGGGATTATTCCTGCCTCTTTGAGCAATAGTGGGCTGGGCAAAGCCATGACAGAAAAGCTTTAGCAGCAGTGATGGGGAGTTCAGCTATGGAGAAAGGCAGGCTGGGTTTATTTATGCTCTTCTTGTTGAAGCAAAGCTGTGGGTATCACTCCACTAGCTCAGCTAATAGCTGCTATCTGTCCCCAGCAGTTCTCTCTAGTTTTTGGTAGATAGGCAACGCTCAGGGTTAGATACAACTGCTGGGCACAGCTCCAGTTCCCTGTGGTGGAGATAGACATAGGGCTGTGTATGGACTGAAGACAGTATGTGGTCTTTTGTGTTGCTGGGCTTTGTCGTTTTAGTGTGTATTATGTTTGGCAGTCAGAATAGTTGGCCAAGCTGGGAGTCATCTGCTTCAAAAGAGTGCAACTTGGCAGCTCTGTTTTATCCTTTCCTGAGTCATGTTGGTGGAAGCTAGAATTTGAGAAGCTTAAAAATGAAGAGTCTTCTTGCTGTAAAGTATGGGTTTAACTTGTGGCTTTCCCTCGTCTTCCTTACGCTTTCTTTATTGGTCCCGGGCACGATAACAGAGCTATCCATACAGGCAGTGGCAGTGATTTTATGCTGACTGTAAAAATACCCTGAACTATTCCCTCTGCAAAAGCCAGCATCTCTCAAATGCAGCATTGCCAGGGCCAGCGTATTCCTCTTCCAGACAACTGAATATGGAAAAGAATGCAAAACACACTGAAGAAGCAGAGCCTGTCAGTCATTCCTCAGCAGCAGTCAGCACTGCGAAGGATGGGTGCAGAAGTCAAACGTGGCCGTTTTCCTCCAGCCACTCTCATGTCTAGCTTAGAGGTAACTCCCTAGGAGGTGGGATGCATCCTGCTCTCCAGGATGCACCCGAGATGCCTGTGGCTTTGCAGCTGAGTGGGTGTGATACTCTGCTACAGTACAGAGCAAGGCCATCACCAGCATATGCTTGACAAGAGGCTGGGGCATGATGCAGAGAGAGATCCCCAAGCCCTTCTAGGGCCCCTCATCAGCAGTGGGATGCCCTTAGGACTGCAGGAGCTGAGGGCAGGGTTATCCTTGGGGAGCCAGGCATTCCTGGTGCAACACTGCATCCCTGACTGTGGCTTCTGCAGGAGCTGAGTGTGCTGAACCTCAGTCCACATGAGGATTTAGGGGGTGGTGGCTTCTTTGTCTGCCCATAGGAAGAGCTGACACTGAGACAGTTTGTGGCAAGCAAATGGTTTCCACCTTTCTGCCCCGAGCATGTCACACCAGAAAGCTCTTGCAGGGCTTCAGTGACCCTACCAGCACCCTCTTCCCCATCCGTCTTCCCCCAGTGTGAGCAATGCACGATGAATGCGTCACCCTGCACACATGGGTACAATCCTGACCGTTCCACAGTGCCCATCAATCCACTGGAGTCATTTTAGACTGCTTTAATTCTATTTGTTCCATTACGCTGTTACGGCTCTCCTCAGACGCAGTGCTAATTAACTCGATCACATCCTAGCAAGTCCTGGCTCCCTCATCATCTCCAGGGTTTCCAGTCCAGGGAATTGTAACAGCTCATTTATCCCAGGGGGTTTAAATGGATTCTTTTCTGTGATGGAGCTATAGGCTCATGATTGCAGAGGTGCATTCAAGTCTCTAATTCAGTGTGCAGCATTGAAAATCGTAGAGATTTTAAATAATTCATCACTGGGCTTCAGTATATTTAGCCATTCAAACTGGGAACGTGGGATACTGCTCTGCAGAGAGTGTGTGCCATGGTCAGAGGTCAGCTCTGCCCCTGCGTCTGTGCAGAGGAGTTTGGACAAATTAAGTCGGAGGAAGTGACTGGCAGCAAAAGATACAGGAAAATCTGTGACAAATAATGATGCTGTGAGAGCCTCCCCGCAGCTGTGGGCTGGGTGATGCTGGTACATGGTCCAGCAGGATGCAGGCTGGGAGACTGAATTAGCAAGAAGCATCACCCGGGATTGTATGGTTAGAGCCAAATGCATGGTCAAGGTAAAGTCTTTAGGCTCGAACCAATGAGCTTGCTCTGCCTGGGGACCGTCTCCATCTGTTGCTCCCTGTTCTGTATGTGGATTGCAAACTGCTGCATACAGTGAGATGCTCTTGTTCTCTGCTGTGTCCTGCTGGTGACTGTGACACAAACACACCCATTAGCAGACACAGCAGCAGTGGTGGACTCTCACAGCTGGTAGAGACCCGAGGTTCAGAAGGTTCCCAAACCCCCTGCAGTGGTGCCGAGTCCCACTGCAAAAGGGGCGGTGGTTTAGAAACATGGACCCACAGCCTCATTTTATAGCTATGCAGCTTCTGATCAGGACCTGCCTCTCCCTCTTTCTTGACCCAAAGGCAGACCTTGAGAAGATGCTCCAGCAGTGGTGAACTGGGAGGGAGCTACATGTAGAATCCACAGGTGATGGGCTCTGCTCAGTGTGTCGAAAGCTATCCCAGCCACAAAGTACACTGGAACCTTTCTTCCAAGTTATTTATCTAAATAATAAATAGGCTATTTATGGGAAATGCTGCTGTTCAGGAGGGGGTTGATTCTGCAGGGTCTCAACACCTATTCACCTCCACAGGAGCAGGAAGCACTCAGAGCCTCTCCTAAATTCCCTGCGCATTGCACAGGGTGGAAACCTTTCCTGTCCCTCTCAGTTTATGCATTATAGTCACATTATAAAGAAGTCCTGCAGAACATTCAATTACTTACTGCACAATTATAATCATATTTGTATATCTATAAGTAGGTCACCATTCTCTTAGGTTAATCAATTATAATGGCATTCACACCGGTTTCTCTCGTAAATCACTGGCTTTTAGTGTAACCAGTGAGATAATGGAGGAAAACCATCTAATTTGGGTATAACCAGAATGAAACGGGAACGTGCATAATTTGCTCCTACAAAGTGTATCTAATGTTCTCTACATCTGTATTTATTTGCGCTGTTTCATGCGGCATGTTGCCTAAGAGGCAAAAAAAAACCCCACAGAGGTTGCTGCACTTAAAACTAAATGACCCGGAGTAATACAATTTATCTGCATTTATTTTGCATTGTTCATCATGGCAGATATTTTAATAACCCACTTCTGATGGCTGATGCACTGATTACCAATCACACAGAAATTTGAGGCCCAACAGCAAGACTGTTTGGTGTGCCGCAGGAATATTAGGGGGAGCTGTTTCGCCCTGTAAAGCAAGCTGTTAAGTGGAGATGGAGGGCTTTGCTCAGGCTGGAGGCTTCAAAAGCTCTAGGACATAGCTGGATGCCACCAAATCATGAACATCTGCTGAGCAACTGCCAGTGTTGCTGCTTTAATGCCTACATTAAAGGCACTTCTGCAGCTTTCAGGTAACTTAGTGAATGGGATAAATCATAACTGAACAGCTCCTCTTCTCTGCCCACTGGGTGCCATGCTGCTGCTGTCAGAGATGTGTGGAAGATCCCTGTGTCAGCTTCAGAGGTGGCCTGGGGCTGGCTCCAAGGGAGTGGGATGTATGTGGGAAAGTACAGAGCAAGACCTAGACCGGGGCTACCAGATGTGGCTCATCCCAGTTTAACTGGAGAACTGCAGAGGAGGGATATGGAGAAGTTCAGGGGCTTGGGATGCCTGCCCTGCAAGGCTCTGGCTGATGGCCCAGTGTGCAAAGTAACCTCAGAGAGGGCTGCTGGGATTCACCTCGTGCAGAGTTACTGAGTCCTCTGGACATGAATTACTGGTTAGAGATGTTCAGTCTGGAGAAGAGAAGCTGCGTGGAGACCTCAGAGCAGCTTCCAGTGTCTGAAGGGGCTACAAGGATGCTGGAGAGGGACTCTTCATCAGGGACTGTAGCGATAGGACAAGGGGTGATGGGTTCAGACTGAAACAGGGGAAGTTCAGCTTAGATATAAGAAAGAAGCTCTTTACTGTGAAGGTGATGAGGCACTGGCACAGGTCCTGCAGGGATGTGGAGCTCGCACCATGGCAGTGAGCCGTAGTTTGGGTACAGCACACCCAGAGCTCAGCCTGGCTCCAGAGCAGAGCTGCTCCAGCCCTCGCAGCATCCCCATGGCCTCCTCTGGCCTTGCTCCAGCAGCTCCACGTCCCTCTTGTGCTGCTGCCCCAGAGCTGGATCAGGGCTGCAGGGGGGGTCTCCCCAGCAGAGGGTTGGCAGTGAGATGCTGTTTTGGCAGCATCCCTCGTTCCCCCCATGCTCAGTGTGGGTCACAGGAAGGGCCAGCACAGCCTCAGCTGCTCGGCTCCTCTCCAGAGAAGCATTTGTGAGGATTTATGTGTGTCAGGCTCCTATTTTAGGAGGGAAACGTGTCAGTAGATCATAAATGTTGCAAGTGATTTATGTTGGCTGGTTTGGGTACCTCAGCCCCAGGAGCAGACAAATTGTGGGCTTTATGTTTTATTTACACTTTCAGGGAATTTAGTGTCTTTGGAAAGCACGGGGCCTGTATCCCAGAGGGAAGCTGACTCCCGGTGGGATGGATAACCCCAGGCAGCTCCCCCTCGCAGGGTGCTGTGGGAGGTGTTGAAAACCAACTTATTTCTTAGGTGATTTTACATCTGAGTGGATGGTTTTAATCTGTTTCTCTTTGTACGGGAGCTGGGAAGTCCAACACGTCTGCAGTGACAGCAGAGAGCACAATAGAGGGTTTAGCTGAGTTTTAGGTATGCAGAAGAGTTAAATTAATTAACAGTAATCTCTTTAAAATGTATGGCAGAGTATTACCAGTGTAGTCTGTCCAAAGGTTCTTTGGGACTTACTAAAGACCTGGGAGTCATTAATAACATAATAACCCATGGTTAAGCCGATGGTATCAGCCAGTTGGCGGGTAGAGTTTGGGGTTTGCAAAGAGGATCCTTTGTGTTTCCTGTGTGGAGTCGTTCTGCACTGGTGTCTACAAGAGGTGCTTATAGTCCCTGAAATTCCCATGTGGATCACGGGGGTAATCACTATTATTGTGTTATAATGCCCGCAAGGGACAGCTGAGTGCTTTAAGAGCAGATAGTTAACTCCTCTAGCTTATACGCACCTATCTAAGCTCTGTTCAATTAATGAAACACGACTGGAGCAAAAGGGATCGGTACCAACCAAAGCGCTGCACTTTAAGCTCCTCTAATTATGCAATAAGATAATGTCCACCAGAAATAATTTTTAATTAGCTCAATTTAGGAATAAAGGGGAAAAAAAAGGCATTAGATTTCTAGTTCTGGAACACCTAAAATGACCTCAAGTTGGGGGGTGGGGGTGAAAATCAATTGAATGTGGTGCGTGTCCTCACGTCTGCTCTTCCCTGCAGGACGTCAGCAAATCCCCGTGGGTTTGGGCTCCTGGGTTTGCTGGCAAGAGGTGGTTTGGGGGGGCTCTGGGTGCAGGGGCAGTGCACAGGGGTGCCCTTGGTTCTCCCCACCACTCATTTCCAGCCCCAACTGCCTGCAGTCTCTCCGGCTCCACTGTCAGGAGGTGGAAACATGCTGGCTAGAATAGGGACCTTTGTTCTGTTTCGGTTTGTTTTCCTCTTTCCTTTTCCCTATTCATACATGTAAAGGCCAAGCCAGACCATTAAGTCCAACTAATCCTACATCCTGCATGACAAAGGCCATCCCGCCCATCCCCTGATTCCTCAATACCAGGGCTGACCATGACCGTGTGATTATATCCCCTCCTATAAACATGCTGAGAGCCTCTTGTGTGCTCCAGACACAGAGCAGGACCCCATTGAAAACACCCAGCCTTGATTTAAGGACTCGGCAGCGGATGATTTATCACATCCCTCATGAAACCACTCCAATGCATAATTAAGCTTACAGTCAAATAAGTCACTTGGGCTGAAAGCATGGGGAGCCGTACACAAAGCGCCCGGTGTACAGTTGTGTTGGGTTATGGGGCAAGGGATCCAACACATTGCTTTAATGTCTTTTCAGGGAAGAAACAAGGCTATCTGAACCATTTGCACAACATAGAGGCTCTCCAGCCCTCGTCTGGAAAAGGCTGGAGGTTTGCTGGGGAAGCTTTGCAGAGAGGGAGCAATAAAGAAAGGAGGGTTTTACAATGCAGGGTTGAATGGGAAACTTTTATTGGAGAGGCTTGGCCAGCTCCTAATCCCATGGGGGGAAAGGAGGAGGCCTTTGAATGTGGTGTTTTTTCCCTTTTGGAAGGTCAAAGTCATTCCATGCAATTGCAAAGCAACATAAGCGACATACACTTATTCCTCTGCGGTGGCTGTCAAAAATGGAGGAGTTTTGTAGTCCCAAACAGTACATTTCATCAAAGCCCTGCAGGTAAAAATGCTCTGCTGGCTTGAAATGTATCTTAATGAGCAGAATGCAGCCAACGGAACAGGGTGCAGCTGAAAGGGACAGATGGGATCATTTAATGTTTGATTCTTTGCATGAAAGAAAACAGTATTTGTTTTTTCCCCAAGTTCTTTTTCCTGTGGTTGTCGGTGTTCTGCGCAGTGTCACAGCATCCCATTGGCAGTCCCTGGGCTCTGGCAGGTTAACTTATCCAGAGTCTCTCGAATGCAGAGTTAGAGGTTGTTCCTGGAACTCCTCAGCTCACATAAACCCATGGAGCTCATCCAACAGCCCGTGGCAAGTAGAGATTGTCTCCTTGGCCACGAGACCTGTTGATAGGTAAGGACTGCAAGCAAAGACAGTGCTTTAAGCTTTTGGTTATTGGACAGCGATGGTGGATTGTTCCCAAAAATGTGTCATGTGTTGGGAAATGCTTTTTTGGTGAGGCAGGGTGAGTAATCCTGGGTTTAATCCTGGACAGGTTCAAGCAGATTTTTCTGATGAGATCCAATAGCAGTTCTGATGAGATCCAATAGCAGTTAACAAAGGTTCAAGCAGAACCTGTCCTGCATCAGGGATCCCCATAGGGATGGCTGCAGCAGACTCTGCCTTGGGAGCTCTGTCTCTAAGGCTGGACCCTAAACCTGAAGCTGTCAAGGGCCAGCCCTCTAAAAATGCAATCAGGCATCAGGCAGGCAGGTTGGGAGTGCATTTGAAATGTTTGTTCCAGAGTGTTTTCAGACACAACTGCAGGAATTTATCACTGCTGTATCACTTGGGACCGGGGCAAGTCCATAAAAGCTCTATGCAGTTGGAGGATGCATTTCCCTATAGGAGATCTGCTGAATTTTGATGCTGAGAGGTGTCCTTAATGTGTAGGACCATATTGTTATGTGCTGCTTATCTTTAATAGGGGAAGATGAGCAGGAAAAGGAGTGCGATCAGCCCTGTGCATTAAACCAGCTGTCATTGCTGTAGTAAAAATGATCTGTGCAAAGAGAGGGCAATCTGGTGGATGCACCACATCTAGGTACAACAGAATGTATAGACCACAGCAGTGGACCCTGCCACCCATGCTGGGGCAGGAACAGAAGCATTGACCCTCCCTCCTCTACCCGCTTGTTTTCTGATGAGATCCAATAGCAGTTAACAAAGGTTCAAGACACAAAAGGGGTGATCTGCAGCTTCTCTTGTTTAAGCAGTGTTGGACTGGATTTTAGGATCTAAACAGCAAATGTTGTGTTGCGCAGCCCTTAGCCTGGAGGATGAAGAGCTCACGCTAGCATCAGATCATAGAATCCTGGCCTGGTTTGGGTTGGAAGGGACCTCAAAGCTCCTCCAGCTCCAACCCCTGCCACGGGCAGGGACACCTTCCACTAGAGCAGCTTGCTCCAAGCCCCTGTGTCCAACCTGGCCTTGAACACTGCCAGGGATGGGGCAGCCACAGCTTCTCTGGGCACCCTGTGCCAGCGCCTCAGCACCCTCACAGGGAAGAGCTTCTGCCTTACATCTGACCTAAATCTCCCCTGTTTCAGTTTGAACCCATCATCCCTTGTCCTACCACTACCGCCCCTGATGAAGAGTCTCTCTCTGATATCCAAATCTGCCCATTAGAAGGGTGAGGGGAAACAAAGGCTGTGATGGGGCTGCTGCTGGTCCCCAACCATCCCTTCCAGGCTTCTGCAGGATCCTAAACCTACTCTAAAGCAGTGAGCAGGAGGCTCAGACAACAGTGAGGCCGGTCCATGCGGCTCAGCCCTGAAGGGATGCTCTCGTCACAGAGTGGGTATCCCTAAATCCACCTCTCCTGTTCAAGGCAATGATGGATCCAGGCAGGAAACGTGAACTGCATGTGCACTCCCTGCCACACAGCTCAGTGTCAGCTGGGAAGAGAAGAAAGGGATTGCAAGGAATTTCTTCCGCTGTATTCCAGCAGCGGATTAAAATAGCTGCTACTATTTTAATCTGGCAAAGTGGCAGCTAAGGCACATGCGGGACTGGCAGCGTCTCCCACTAAGCTGGGATGCAAAGAGCAGCCTGTGCCTTTAGTAATGCAAATGCTGGGCTGGCCCCCAGCCCTGGCCCCACACCAAGTCACCCCACGGCCAGAATTTAGGATCAGGAGACATAAAATCACACTGCCCTGTTCTTCTTTTACTCATCGTGAAGAGGTGTAAATGCTGTTTCATTGGATGGCAAGATCACTCCCTGAGGATCCATCAGCCCCGGTGCTCTGGAGGCAGTGGGAAAAAGCTGCTCTCAGAACTTCTATTATTATTATTGCTGTTATTATTATTATTACTATGTTTCTTTTTGCTTCACCTTCATTTATTTTCATTCATTTTATAAAATGAGGTAATTGCATAAACTCAGCTGTGGAAATTTAAGACCTTTTCCAGTGATGTTCTGGGTTTTCTCCTGCATCTGATCCCCTCTCACACAGGTGAATCCCACAAGACTCTGTTGCCTGAATTCAGCATCTATTTAAATAAGCAAATATTTACACAGCATCCAATAGGCACTGTGTGCACAGGAGGACACCAAATTAAGTTAAATCGATATTAACTGCTCTAGGATTGAAGAGGGTCCAGGCAGAAGGATGAGACCAGTTTAACAAAATCTATTTAAGATCCAGGGTAATTAAACTGGAATAAGTTCACTGTGAAGGGCAGATTTCACCTTTCAGATTCCTTGGGTGGCTTTGGATGAAATCCCACTGTGTTTGTTCCACACAGGAAGCATTACTTTCCTCTTGGTTTTAGGAAGATGCAAAAAAATATTTGTCCTACTCATTTAACAGCCCTTCTCCAGTGCGAAACCACTGCTGAAGACCACTCTAAGTTATCTAACTTAGCTTTTTACCTACCTTTAACTGGGCAAACGCTGCAGGCTTTGTTCTAAAGTAGGTCAGATATATCAGGTTTGCATTAGACATCTTGGAAGCGGACACAAAAAGTACCTTGACCATATGGCCCACAGACCTGTGCTTTGCTGGCTCACACCCTTTCTAATTCCTCTTAATCTGCTCATAAGCCCCTCCAAAAGGGTGCTTCGCACACCTCACCACTAATCTCTTTGACTGCCTGGTTGCCCTGTGGATCTAATGCCAGATGGCATTAATATACCCATCACTGTAATTATTCAGACAAGCAAACAGGGGCAGGAGCAGTCTCAACTTCTTGCTTTTCCCAGTGATTCAGGGGCATACTTGAAAGGGCCCTTTCATCCCCATGGATCCTGTTCCCTGGAGTTGTCCCAGGCTGTCCTCATCAAAGGGGAATTTGATGTTTCAGCAGTTTCTCAGCCAATTTCATGCTGGGATAAGAATCAGTGGTGATGGGACAGTATCATTCATCTCTGATTATTGCCCAGGAGCTTGGTACACGTCCAGATGCCAGCCCCACACTTGGTCCTCCTAGAAAACCTTTCACAGGATTGAGCTCTTTGTGTGAAACGGGAATACTGCGGATACCTTGTAATCTGAAAGCCTGCCTTTTGTCTGGCTCCAACTGATGGTGAGCATCCAAGATTTGCTGCAACGAACAGCCTGGGTGGATGGTGTCTGATGCCACGTGTTAGGAAGGAGGTGCTTCTGAAAGCTTCTTGCACCATACAAGTGCTGAGCAAGTACCTCCCACTGAGCCCATCTTCCCATATGTGATTTCTATGAAGTTTATTTAGCTATCAGTCAGCAGCAATACAAAACTGTACTGGATGATCGTGCAGTGGATCCCTTGAGTTTCCAGGTATTTGGCTCAGGCTTTGAAATGTTGCCCAGTTTATCACACACACACACAAAGAGCTTTGGGCAATGCCATATTCAGGAAGGCAAGGTGGCTCCATCAGTTCAATAGCTGGGAAAACACAGAGGTGCTTTCGGACATCTCGGGCTCTCCAAGTCCCTTTGTGTTACCCAGAGTGAGACTTTATGCTCCTATCAAGTGCGCTTGGTGTTAGGAATGGGCGCAGCGATGCCATAGTGACAAGAAGCAAGGCTTTGATGCCCATATTACAAAGAATATGCAAACTTATATAATTCCTTTGATTAGCTGCTCTCTGATATGTCAAGTCCATGAATAATCAAGCCTCATTTTCTAATTAGTTTTACTCATCACCCTGCTGCTCCATGGCTTTGCTCATTTGCATACCCTTTCTCTAGTGAAGGGTCTTATTCTGTGAGGTGCTGGCAGAGCTTCTGCCTCTCTGCCATCATAGCAGTTCTTTGGTCCTTTGCTGGCCATTACCTTGCTCTCAGTCCTGCTTCTCCTCCCATGCAGTGGCCAGCTCATTCCTCTATGCTTTTACACTCAGTTCCTAAGCCCTGTTTCTTCGGGGAGCTATCAAAGCCCTGGGTTTGCACATGTCTTATGGAAGTGGTAGAGTGAGGTCCTTCTGGGACACGGGAGGACAAGGCTGGAGCAGCAGCTCCATCGCTTTGAGGACCCACAATGGGAAGTGTGGTTTTGAACGCTCTGGCCACAAACCCATTCAGCCGAGAGACAACTCCATAAAAGCAAGCTGCAGCAGTTGGGCTGGTGGCAGTTGTGTTTGCTACTTTAATGAATATGCTATTTTCACGACCCAGGAGGCTTTTCTGTAGTTATTTCTTTTATCTTCTCCCCCTTCCTGCACAGGTACTGTAAGAAGAATCGCACTGCGAGGAGATACAGCAAAGGTAATGGCTCATTTGCATTTCTTTTAATCAAGTTATTTTAATTGTGCTATTGTGCAAATATGGTTTCCCTTCTCATTTAAAGAAGATCTCATCCTCCCAGCAGCAGTCAGGGTTACCCCAGCCCTGACCAGGGCTGCTACAGCCCACTCCTTCCTCTGCCCCTGCCGGTGCTCTGCAGAGCAGCAGACACTGGGTTGAAATGACAAGAAACCTCAATCCTTTCAGCGAGCTGGAGGCGTTAATGCCTAACAAAGCTCAGTTTTACACACTGACAGCCCGCTTACCTCCAAGCTGATGTGTGTTTTCTCTTTGACAGGGCTAAGCAGTCACCATTTGCCAGTCAAATGCAGAGGTCAAATTCAGCCGCTGTGGAAACAAAGGTATTCGGAAAACATACAGGGATGTGAGGATCAGTCCTGCACAAAGAGCTAACGATAGTTTCCTAAAGCTGCAAAGCTCAATTTAGGGTTTGAAGCACCAGGCATTGTATTGATCTGCCTCTGGGCAAATACCTGGTGCTTTCGCACACAAACCCCAGCCTTTCTGAACGTTTCAGTGTGAAAATTAGCGGAGTCAGCCCGAGATGAGAACCTGCACCAGCTCAGCGGGACC